GATCGTCTTTTACATGTTAATGAAAAGGAGGAATGTGATGTTCAGGCCACACTTAATGAGGGTAGAAGCCACTGAGACTAAATGAGCATACATTTACATTGAGCCCTATTACAAGCCTTAAAAAGACGTTTGTGATATTGAGTGAGCTGAAGCGAGTGTTAATTTAAAAATTAGAACAAACTTATAGGTGAGGTCATGCATGTGTTCATCTTTGTAAGTATGAGAGTCGTATGTGATTCTGGAATAAGCCCTGATGGAAGAAATAAACTCGGTGACTAAAAATAGTAGTTTGCGAATCGCCGAGCAGTTCTTTGAAGCAAAGATAGATAGCCCAAAGTTACAGACCTCGAGGATGTTGAATGCCAAGGTGAAAAGACGATGGAAGAGGTCAAAGGCCGGCTTGCTGAGTGGTTCGGCGAGCCCGACTTACTTCGTTGAATAACCCTTTGTCGCTTATATTTTGCAACTATAAATTAGATTTTTACCATTTAGTTTAGGATCAATTTTTACAACTAGATACATTTTTGGACAATACGAATTTTGCTTAGAGTTTTTCTTAGTTTTTGAAGAACCTTAGAGATTCAATTTGGAGATTTTGGATGTGGGTTTCAGATTTTCTTCAAATTGAGCACTGTAAAGACTAAATCTCTCTTACCCAGTTGATAGTAATCGATTCGGTAATAGTTTTTACCTTTTTATGATGTTTGGCTAAAACCCCAATTCTTGGGGTGTGATCATGTGATTATGGGTTGAATTAATTGATTGGTATTTTTAATTACTAGTTTAAATGCTGATATAAAGCGAGTTTAATCATTAATTGAGGTTTAATTTATGAATTGTAGTTGCAAATGTCATTCTACTTTTGTGTTCTTGGCTTGTTCGAGAGATAGGTTTTAGAACTATAATTAATGGTTAATAATTTGTGGGTATTGAGTTGGGTTTAGCTCGAGAGAGTGAATCATAAATCCAATCCTACCCATCTAGCTCGAAAGAGTGGATGTATTAAGGTGTTTTGGTTGTTCTTCATTGTTATGCTTGTTGATGATTGAAAGAAATCACCTGATTCAGGGTAGTTGTTCGAGAGAAAGCTATCTCCCTTATAGACTAGCCTACTTACTGATTTTCAGCAGTTTACTAGTAGTTTCAATTACCCATATATTGAAATTTGCCTATAATCAATCACATCCCGAGAATCTATCTTCTTATTGTTATTTTGAATTGTTTGTGACTGTTGTCTAGTGGACAATTGCAAACTAAACCCCCCCCCCCATTTGACATTCGTGTAACCCCTTTTATTTTATTAATGTCTTTTTCGATAATTTATATTCCTATGGCTGATTAGACCACATTCATACTTCTTAATTGAATTCTAAACACGTACAGCTCCCTGTGGGATTAGACCCCAACTCATTTAATTGGGTTTTATACTGATTTACGATCGTTGACACCTGGAATTGGATGAGGTGTGCTTGAAATGTTAAAATCATTCTTCCATCCATGGAGTCCCCTAAAGTTTCCCCAATTTGATGAGGAATCCCAAATTCAAGTTAGGGTTTCTTCAATATTGTGGGATATGATGTATGTTGAATCCAATTTTGTGGATATTGATTGCTTATGATAGAATTAGTACTGAATCGTTTTATTATGACAAAATTACATGTTTTGTATGCCTAATCCTAGTCTAATTTATGAAATTGAAGTAATGTGGGTTTACGCCTTGCAGAGGGAAATTGAGGATTTAGAGATAATCTTCTAAGGTTTGATGATATGTGTAGTAATTGTGTGAGAGCGAAAGCATATATAAACATGAATTGAATTAGATTAAAGTATATGTGATGGACCATGACTAGTAATGCTTGAGATTGAGCCTTTATGATGATATATGATTAGCATCATTTAAGAATGAAGTATGTGATTAGAATGCCTTGTTACCTAGGCCTATGATATGATTGTAAGAAGTAAAACTTTGAGAGTAAGGCTTGTAGTTATTCCTAGGGCTTTGAAAGTGAATCGAATGTGTTGAATTATGAATGTTAATGCTTTTAGAGTGAAGCTTGCATGAGGAGGGAAGACTATAGATAGAATTATTGTGGAAGGACCTTTCCCACCTAACCTACCTTTTGAATGTTTGGTTATATGAAGTGATAGAATCACTTGAGTTATGACGATATCCATGTCTAATGTTAGAATTCTAGATATGATGATTATGAACCCCAAGGAGGTAAAATTTGAGATTAAAGTATGTTTTATGAAATCTATGTATATGCTTAAGAACACTTTGTGAGTGAAATGTTTATAATTAATATATGTTGTTGGGTTGTTGAAAGGATATTCTCATATACACACTTCTGCATGAATATGATATGGGATGAAAGGTTCTCTCGTATAGAATGATTCTAGGTTGAAAGGCGTGCTCACCTAAAATGAATCAAAGCATGTTTCGTTTTGTTAGCTTGAAGTTGTGTTATGAAATCTCTTCATTAATAGCTTTACTTGGTAAGACAAGACCATTTCATTGCATCTTGAGTAGGATATCTCATGGTAGCCTTGGATAGAGAAATCATTCCCTTCTTAAGGTTAGGTTAACTAGTATCATAGAATGCTTGCGTGGTAGCATGACTTGGTTAGGCCAAACCATTTCATTGGTAGCTAGGATGGAGCAATACCTTCCTTGAATAGCTTGGACTTGCATGGTAGTATGCTTTGCATGGTAGCTTGGTCTAGCCTAGTATGGTGCAATTCCATGGTAGCCTAAAAATGATAAATTGTAATCATTTATGTATGAAGGCCTAAGGTGGTACTTAGTATGGGTTAGATTTTGGGGTCTTATCCGTGCATTGCACAAGTATGACTTGAAGCTACTTATGAAGTGTTTCTCTTATAAATTGTATGCTTAACTTGGATTGTTGCTATAGTTGCCTTCCTTGATATGTTTGACTAAAGGTGAAGGTTCACTTGTTTATGAGAATTAAGCTAAGGATGAGATCCAAAGATGGTAAGTATGATTATGATGGCCTAAATAAAGATATGTTATTAGGAATGCCATTTTTAGAAAAACTATATCCCCATGTAATAACAAAACACATTGGTGGTTTACCACACCATGTAAACAAAAGTAGGAGCAAAAAGAGTAACTAATAAAAATAGAAAAAATATCCCATGGATTAAAGGAAGTGAAAAAATCACTCAAAAACTAGAAAATAGTTAAGGAAAGTACCCATAATATAGAATTAATTATATTTTCAATAGATATATTAAAAATAATTCAAGAACAATTAGACATATTATATAGTGAAGACCCTTTAAAAGGATGGGAAAAACATAAAACAAAGGTAAAAATTGAGTTAATTGATGAAAATAGTATAATAACTCAGAAACCATTAAAAATATAATTTTTGATGATTTAGCAGAATTCAAAATGCATATTAAAGAGTTACTAGAAAATAAATACATCTAAGAAAGCAATAGTAAGCATAATAGTCCAGCATTTATAGTAAACAAACACAGTGAACAAAAAAGAGGAAAAAGCCGTATGGTAATTGACTATAGAAACCTAAATGCAAAAACAAAAACATATAATTATCCTATACCAAACAAAGTATTAAAAGTAAGACAAATACAAGGATATAATTATTTTAGTAAATTTGATTGCAAATCAGGATTTTATCATCTAAAGTTAGAAGAAGAATCTAAAAAACTAACAGCTTTTACAGTACCACAAGGATTCTACAAATGGAACGTATTGCCTTTTGGATATAAGAATGCACCAGGAAGATACCAACATTT